GGAACATTTAGCGAACATTGACAGTAGTTTAGAGTTGTTGTTTCCAAGATTAGAAAAAGTGTTGGAGCAAAATGAAAACATACTGAACATCTTAAAGAGCATGAATATTAAACCTACATATAATAACAATAACAGTTACCAAGCAAAAGAAGTAGATAGAGACAGTAGCGAATACAAAAATAAACGCAACATTTATGTTAAAAAACTGAATGAAAAAATCATAAAAGAACCTAAACAATCAAGTCTGGATTACTATCAAGTCAAGTATAAAGAAGATACCAAGAAATACGTTTAATCATTAACTAACAAAATTTCGTGTCTCAAAAGCGGTTTGTTTATTCCTGCTACTTTGTAAGTTTTATTACCCATAATATCATATTCAATTTTATCAATATTGAATATTTTATTAGACCATTTAGAGTTATACTCCTTTCTGTCGGTGTAATTACCCCTTTTCTTTTGGAACACTTTTACCTTGTCGTTCTCCTCTATTTTGGGATACTTTCTTTTGTTTTTTTCTCGTAGTTTAAGATTGACCTTTACATTTATTTCATTGTCGTCCTTGTGTGCTTCAGACGGCGCCATCCTTGTTGATGAGTGAGATGTGCTGTTATACTGTTTCAATGCTTGCGTTAGGGCATCGGTCCATTTCATGTTGTTAAACCTAACTCTATCGTGAATTTTGTTTTTCATCGTTCTAATAAAACGCTCGGCCACATTTGCGTGGGTCTTCGTGACGATGTGGTTTATTCCTTCACTGTTGAAGAAATCCTGAACTTGATTTTTAGTTGCAAACGCTCCGTCGTCATCAGAATACACGGACATCGGATAACCCATCTTTTTAAAGCTTGCTCTCAACGCCTTCAAAACGTGCTCTCCGTCTCTTTCCTCCATCGGTATTACATCTGCTAATTTACTGAAGATGTCAATCACGACTAAAGCATACTGTGGAACGTTCTTGTCTTTTGCTAAAGGTGACATATGCATTATGTCTATTTGATATTCATATCGTGCGAATGGAGCGGTATAGGAATTAGTACCTCTATAATTTTTGATTTGTTTATTTGGTTGTTTCTTTAAGAAAGACTTTACATCGTCTAATGTTATTGTTGGGTCTTCTTCCTTTGCCTTCTTGTGTGTCGCTTGTGTGCTTCCGAAACCCTCGTCTAAGTCGTAATAGATGTTGCTGATTATTTGGTCTTTTGTTAATCTCGCCATTATATTAAATTGTTAGAAAATATTTTTTCAATATAAACCCCCACCCCTTAACATAAAATAAAAACTACTTAAAGAAAAATGGATATAATATAGTAAGAGAAAAAATGACACTGTTTAATTATGATAATTGTCCTTGTAAAAATAACAAATGTAAGTCTGTCGTGGTACTAGCTAATATTTTACCTGTTGATGTGTGTAATCTTATAGGTGGCTATATTAGAGTAACATGCTTTGATTGCAGGTATTTGATGGAAGAAGAAGAACATTTCATGAGAAATAAAGACATTCCTGAAGAAGGACTGGAAAAAGCAGAACTTCAATTACAATTTATTAAACTAACGCAAAATAATGTTTTTACACTACTAGCGGAAAACCAATATAGTATAAAATTAAGACATTACAGAAAACACATTGACCGAGTATTTGATATACAAGAAGTTAAAGAACGGTTTAAAAATAGAAAAATGTATTATCAAGCATTAAAATCATACTGTAAGAATAATGAAAATGAAATTTGTATCATTTTAAGAAAATGTCTTAACATTGAAGATTTAAAAAATTTTAAACGTTGTGGGTTTACCTTTCCAAACCTAAACAGTTGGTGGTCATATAGAAATAACAATTATTATATGAGATATATTCTTAGCGAATTAATTGAAATTTACACAGACCAATTAATAAAAGGATACGAGCATTATTGTTGCGAGTATAGTATGAGTTGTTATAGTGGTTGTATCGCTGGTGAGATTGAATATGGGTAAAATTAACTTTTGTTTATTAATATTATTATCTTATAATATGATTAAACATTGTTTTATAATCTAACAAGAAGGTTAAGACATTTAAATTAAACCTGAAACCCAGACCAGCCGACCAGCAACCCCCTAGCCAAAACTACTTAAAGAAATATTACCTTATATATTAAGAGAAAAATGAACGGTGATGGAATCAATAATTATATCGATAAAAAATGCTATGATTGTTGTCACTTCAAAAAAGAAAATATGGAATTGTATAAATTGAGTTTACCTAATGAAATTGTGAATAATATTATTAATTATTCAATGGATGGTGAAGAAGACATATGTAAAAATTGTAAAACTTGGAGAGATAATCAATTTTTAATCAAATGTCTGTTGGGAATAAAAAGAATACATAATAGAAATGTAGAAGATGATATTTTAATATTTCTAACTGTAAATAAAATACCACCTTACGATTGTGTTAAACAGTTTCTTAAAATCAGTAAGAACAATATGAAATGATTGATGATATATTATGGATGTTGGGTTATAGTCAAGAGAAAGGAGAACATGTTAAAGAAAATATCAAATTATTTATTGAAAGTAAAAAGTTTAATGTTCAGAATACAGTGACATGTTAATATTATTTTTAAAATGATGTATGAAAGAAGTAAGACAAACCAATTAGATTATTATCCTGAACTGAAATTATAATCATAATATAATAATAACATGTAACATCTTATATGTTATAATTATACTGAACTTTTAACCTATAAATGAAAATTAGTGAGAAAAACACTAACAAAACAAATACACCACCAACACCTCAGAACTTGATAACTACTAAAAGGGCTACCTCTTTCAAATGAAAAAAATGTCGGCCCCCAGCCCAACAATGAACAAGGGGGGCAATTACCCAAAATGATTACCTTAACGAAAACGATAAATAAGCTCCCTAAAAACCCTCTTTTAAAAACGAATAAGGGGGAACACAGATTTGAGATGAACATAAAAACCAGAACAGGCAACCCTCAACAGGCCACCCCCCGGGCCCCCCCTTTTCTCCATTTTTTGGGCACCCTCCGCGCTTTTGGGCACGCCCTGCCACTGCGCTTGGGCGTTTCGGGGGGCGCGGGGGGCGCGGGGGGCGCGCCTCTGCGTGGCTGCGGCTCGGCCGTGCCTGGGCTGGGTTTGGCCCTGTCGCTCCCGGGCCCCTGTTAGTCTTCGTAACGGGTTCCGAAACTGCCGTTCCGGCACCCTCCGCGCGCGCTTTTTCGCTCCATTTTTGGTGCTTTTGGGCACGCCCTGCCATTGCGCTTGGGCGTTTCGGGGGGCGCGGGGGGCGCGGGGGGCGCGGGGGGCGCGCCTCTGCGTGGCTGCGGCCCGGCCGTGCCTGGGCTGGGTTTGGCCGTGTCGCTCCCGGGCCCCTGCTAGTCTTCGTAACGGGTTCCGAGACACCGTTCCGGCACCCTCGCGCCTTTTCGCTCCATTTTTGGTACGTTTGGGCACGCCCTGCCACTGCGCTTGGGCGTTTCGGGGGGCGAGGGGGGCGCGGGGGGCGCGCCTTTGCGCGGCTGCGGCCCGGCCGTGCCTGGGCTGGGTTCGGCCCTGTCGCTCCCGGGCCCCTGCTAGTCTTCGTAACGGGTTCCGAAACTGCCGTTCCGGCACCCTCCACGCGCGCTTTTTCGGTTCATTTTTGGTCCTTTTGGGCACGCCCTGCCACTGCGCTTGGGCGTTTCGGGGGGCGCGGGGGGCGCGGGGGGCGCGCCTCTGCGCGGCTGCGGCCCGGCCGTGCCTGGGCTGGGTTTGGCCCGGTTGGGGGATCACTTTGGTCGCAGTTTTTGGATCACTTTGGTCGCAGCTGAAATCCACTCACTTTGGTCGCAGTTGGAGCATTTGCGGATCACTTTGGTCGCAATTTTTGGATCACTTCAGGCGCAGTGGAAGATAGCTTTTTGAGCACTAACAACCGGACACACGCAAAGGGTGTTGCCTCTCAAACACCTAACAACAAGACATGCTGGGCGGGGTGGGGTCGACAAGGATGTTGCCTCTCAAACACCTAACAACAAGACATGCCGGGCGGGGTGGGGTCGACAAGGATGTTGCCTCTCAAACACCTAACAACAAGACATGCCGGGCGGGGTGGGTCGACAAGGATGTTGCCTCTCAAACACCTAACAACAAGATATGCCGGGGGGGGTGGGGTCGACAAGGATGTTGCCTCTCAAACACCTAACAACAAGACATGCCGGGTGGGGCGGGGTCGACAAGGATGTTGCCTCTCAGATGCCTAACAACAAGACATGCCGGGTGGGGTGGGGTCGACAAGGATGTTGCCTCTCAAACACCGAACAACAAGACATGCCGGGTGGGGTGGGGTCGACAAGGATGTTGCCTCTCAAACACCGAACAACAAGACATGCCGGGTGGGGTGGGGTCGACAAGGATGTTGCCTCTCAAACACCTAACAACAAGACATGCCGGGCGGGGTGGGGTCGACAAGGATGTTGCCTCTCAAACACCTAACAACAAGACATGCCGGGTGGGGTGGGGTCGACAAGGATGTTGCCTCTCAAACACCGAACAACAAGACATACCGGGTGGGGTGGGGTCGACAAGGATGTTGCCTCTCAAACACC